GCTCGCCTCGCTGCACACGCCGCGGCTGAACGTGTGCAGGAGCCCAAAGTAGTGCCCAGCCTCGTGCACGGCCGTGTCACCTTCGCCATACCACGTCAGCCGCCCGCCAGGGAGCGAGTTGTGGTCCACGAAGATGGCGTGCTGCTTGCTCGTCTCCGCAAAGTCGTTTGGAAACACCGCAAAGCCAAGGATGCCGTTGCCAGGGCTACACGTGAACACGTTGAGCGTGGTGGCGGGGTCAATCACGTGCGCGTTCTTGATGTCTCTCGCGGCGTCTGGGTTGCCGCACGTCGTGTACAGGGCGTCGCTCGCCACATAGTTGACGCCGCGCAGTTCAAACTGCATGCCAATGTCCACCGCGTCTGCGTCGCCCGTCCGCCCCCTAAACGCGTCAGACATGACTTCCACCTGCGCCGCGATGGTGGCGGCGTCCACCCGGCCAGTGCCGTCTGCAGCGTGCAGCACATGGAAGATGACAGGCACCACCAGCAGCGGGCTGGCATCGGGATCGCCACCACCACCACCGCCGCCGCCGTTGTTGGTGCTGCTGCCTGCTCGGCGGGGTCGCTGTGCTGCGCGGAGCATGGCCTGTGTCGCCGCCTCCTCTTCTGCAGACACGTTGCGCGTGCCGCATCGCACCAGCGCAGACGCGTCAACAGCGGTGTTGGCGGAGGTGGACAGCGGCGGCGATGGCCCCGCACCGGCGCGTGTCGTCGTCGTTGCTGCCGGTGACGCTGCACCCGTGTCCGTGTCCTGTGCCACGTGTAACGGCAGCGGCGATGACGATGATGACCAGGGGTAGAACGCTACCCTGTCTCGTACAGACACGTCCTCATCGCCATCATCATCATCGTCGCTGCGGTTGCTGCCACCATCATCATCATCGTCCGCATCGTCGTCATCCGCATCGCTGTAGTTGCCGTAGTAATCTTCGTAATTTTCGTAGTCATCGCTGGAGTAATCGTTGTCATCGTCATCGTTGTAGTAGTCATCATCGTCGTCAAAGTCATCGTCGTCATTGCGCACGGCATAGTCATTGATCCCACCATCACCAGCACTGTCGTCGTTGCTGAGGTGGGGCGTCAAGCTCTTGCGGTCTCGACTGAATGGGTTCTCATCCGTGCCCTGTGCTGGCGGTGGTGATGATGACGATGATGATGATGATGATGATGATGAGACTGGTAATGGTGGTGTTGGTGAAGGTACTCTTGCTGGCGATGGTGGTGTTGGTGAAGGTACTCTTGCTGGCGATGGTGGTGTTGGTGAAAGTACTCTTGCTGGCGATGCTGGTGGTGCTGCTACCCCTGTGTCGATCATGTGCTTGTCCTGTGCCCGCTCCAGAGGAGCAGCGCTGGCGATGAATGCGCCGTCTCGCTGCCGCTGTGTGTGGGACATTGCCAGGAGGAAGGCAACAATCACGGCCACAAAGGAGAAAGGAGGCCGCATGTCGACTGTTGCCTTAAAACGTACAAGGGTGAACAAAGGGGGGGGGCATGTGCATGCATGAGTGAGGGTCGACGAGACAAAAGTGCTAGTGATGCTGGCGGTGGTGGTATTGGTGCTGGTGATGGTACTGGTGGTGGTGGTGGTGATGATGCTGCGTTGTTGGTGTGGGTTTTAGGGTACAAGCTACGCACACTCACACGCTCCCCCTCTCCTGTCGATGACATGTGGTCGATGCGCCCCATCTTGTACCCACACATGTTCATCCGAGCGCACATGCATGCACTCACAAGCACGCGCTGTTGCTCGCACACTGACCAAAACGCCAAAACGCGCTCGCCCGCCCACACGTACATGAAAGCCAGCTGCTGGTGGTTGTTGTTACGGTGACCTCTCCTGTCGCAAGAGCCTAAATCGACGAATCTTGACTGTCGATGATCCTCGCTCACACCCTCCCTGGCCAGCATGCATGCGCCAAGAACACACAACGGACCGTGGCAAAGAGGCGACAGGCGTGCCAGTGAGTGAACGAAGAGAGGCAAAACAAGTGCACGCAGTCGTGTTTGCGGTGTGTTCTTGTGCGAGGCCGTGTTTGCTTCGGCGCATTTTCCGCCGATAATAAATTTGCATGGAATCACATGCGCAGCGAATCATTGTTTTTTTTGTGTGTGTGTTTTGCTGACATGAAACAATGTCGATGCGGAAGGTGCTGCTGCTGGTCGCATCAACGCTGATGTGGCTGGCGGTGCTTGTGCTGTTGTCTTGGAGCGGGCTGTGCGTGGTGACGCTTCCGCTTGCTGCACAAGCTTCAATGGCAAGCAGCGGGATGGAGCTGCCAAAAACACACACAGCAATGCTCAATGTGAGCGACACACCTGGTGGTGGGTTGCGAGCATCGGCAGCGTTGAATGCAGACACACCGACGTTAGCAGCACGATCATCATCAGCAACAGACGCAGCAGCATTGACTGCACCAGCAGCACAGCAGCACGCGGCACGACGACGGTCGCTGTTGGCTGCGCCATCATCACCGCTGGCAGCGGGCTGGGGCGATGAGCTGCAACGGTGCCCCTCGGAGACGTGCCGGGTCGTGTTTGTGCACATCCCGAAGACCGGTGGCACGACGTTTATTCAGGCCATGGTGGCCTGGACGGCACGGCGTAAGCTGTCGTTCTTGCGCTGCATGGAGCATGTTTCTGCCAAAACGTGTCACGGCTGGACAGCGAGGAGTGAGGCGCCTGCAGCCGCCAAGACGGTGGTGGACCCCGTTGTCGGCGCAGAGGTGGTCACCCACCGCCCTGGGCAGCAGCAGCAACAGCACGATGACGGTGGGCAGCACAGCAGCCCCATGTTTAGGGAAGTGGCTCCAGACATCGCGGGTGCTCGGGTCATCTTTGGGCACATGCCATTCGCAGCCCTTCCCCCTTCTCCTGGTGTGTTGTGTGTGTGTGTGTGTGTGTGTGTGTGTGTGTGTGTGTGTGTTTGTTTGTTTGTATGCGTGTGTGTGTGTGTGTGTGTGTGTGTCGTTTGTGGTTTTTGTGTACATGCAACTGCCGTTCTTCTGCTGGTGTTGTGTTTTGTCCATATCCTGCCCACTTTTTCACATATGCACACTCACCTACGCACGTACGTGACATGCTCTCACCAACGCGCACCACTCCCCCTCCCAACCCCCAACTCCCTACCTCACACACGCTCACACAGGAGTTGACACGGCATATGTGTCGGTGCTGCGTGAGCCCGTGTCACGGATCCTGTCGCACTTCAACTACGTGATGCCGCTGACGGGGTTTTCGTCGTGGTACCGGCGGCAGGTGCAGCACAAGGCGTGCAACCTGCAGGTGGCCTATCTTGCCGGCGTTGCTGGCAGCGGGCCGCTCAGCGTCGCCGACGGCCACTGCCACCGCGTGAACGAGACCCACCTGTGGCTTGCCTGCAAGCATTTGCGCAGCAACCTCTCCCTGGTGGGTCTGCACGACTTTCACCTGGATTTTGACAAGCAGTTCCTGTGCATGTTTGGCGGGATGGACGTGGAAGCGGCAGAGACGGTGCTTGCACACCACGCCACCCCGCACGAGCACCGCGGCAAGCACCCGGCCCACTTTACCCCGCTCACGCTCTCCACCATCACCGACGACAGGCTCATCGAGCGGGTGTGTAGGTCGTTTGTATGTGTGTGTCTGTGCGTGTGTCTCTGTGTGTGTGTGTGTGTGTCAGTGCGTATCGGTGTGTGCGTGTGTGTGTGTGTGTGTGTGTGTGCGTATCGGTGTGTCAGTGCGTATCGGTGTGTACGTGCGTGTGTGTGTGTGTGTGTGTGTCTATCTGTCTGTCTGCCTGTGCGCGTGTGTGTGTTGTGTCTGTACTTCTGTTATTTTTGTGTGCAAACGTGTGTTAGTCTCTGTGCGTCTGTTGAGAATGGATGCCACTTGGACAACCGTCATGCAAGCCCTCCTCACCTCACCCCCCCCCCATTCTCACCAACCCCCAACCCCAACCCCCACCACCTCCACCTCCACCTCCACCTCCACTCTCCCCCACCACCGCCACCACTGACCCGCAGGTCTTTGAGGACAACCTGCTTGACGTGATGCTGTATCTGTATGCGGCAGTGCTGCTGGGTCGCCTCCCACCAGACCGCTACGAAACACCACCGCAGCCCAGCGTGTCGCATGCAGAGCCGCATGCACAGCCACACGCACAGCCGCACGCACAAGCACACGCACAAGCGCCGCCTCTGGGCGAGTCTGCTGCGTGCGCGCGTGCACGGCGCTTTCGCCCCCCTGCCGGATCCCCGGGCCCATCGTTCTCGGTCCTGGACGTGCTCATCAACGACACGTCTGAGACTAGCACCGGTGACCGTGACAACGATGGCAGTAGCAGGGGTGATGGTGGCAACAGTGACAAGAGTAGCAGCGACACCGGTGACCGTGACAACGATGGCAGTAGCAGAGGTGATGGTCGTACTGAGATTGGCTACCGCCGCCATGGCGACGCTTCTCAGCCAGGCAATCCCCACCACACCCACCACTACCACAGTGCGCCACCGCCACCACCACCGTCACCACCACCAGCGCAGGATCAGGTGCGGCTGCGATCGTCATTGTCGCGACAGGAGGCGCTGCTGCATCGCCTCTACACGCGTGCCCTGCAGTCCGACCTCTTCCTCGCCCTACTCAGGCACAACAACAGCAACAACAGCAGCAACAATGCTTGATGAAGGTGCTTGCTGCTGCTGGATCGATGATGCGTCGAGTGATTCAGCGTCGGTGTTGGTGATACGGCGAACGTGGCGTGGTGTGTGTGTGTGTGCTGCTGTGTGCGGCATGATGTGTGGCGCGGAGTGATGTGAGACGTGACATGACAGACAACCCATGGCGAGTCACATCAAATCACAACACATGTCACCTCACAACACATCTCACAACACATGCGAACCCTAACTTGAGACCCTGACTGATGTTTGGCCAGACAATAAAAAGGACCCATGACTCAAGCAAGATGTGCCAGCTACACACCAATCTCACGCGAGTTCACACACGACTGAGAAGCAGAGTGCAAAGGCAACAAACAAGCCAGCCAGCGAGTGCAGCAAGGCAAAACGAGTCAGCCAGCCCAAACGCTTTCGCGCAGCAGCAAGCACAGCATGCGCAACATCGCCGACAGATTGGACCACGGCCCCACTCCAGCGCTCGCCGTTTGCGTGCATGCAAAACAACCACTTCGCACCCACCCTCACCCAGCCACGCTCACGACCGGCACACAGGCCTCCTTTCGAAAACGACAACAGGCCAACCCGTGTGTTGGACACAGGTGTCATCACGCCACACTCACCCACTTGCCCACAACAGCAACACACTTCCGCACAAAAACCCACCCTTCCCATCCAAGCAAAACCCGCCAAGCCGCCAACGCGCAGGCCAGCCTGACCATCAAACAAGTGCAAGCATGACCAGGCTGATGGCTTTGGGAATCAAGACGAAACGGGTCAACTTGCTTCATTTTTCAACCACCCACCAAGAAGCCAACACACTCTATGTCAAGGCAACGACCTCACACTTGCCCCACCCCGTTTTGAGCGTATCAACCTTGCGTCAGGCTCGTTTAACCCCAACCCGTTTCGCACACACAAACACACGAACACACACACGCACATGCAACAACGACAACAACATACCTGCCTTGATGCCTTCGCCCCACACGATTTCTTGTGCCTTGTGTCGAGGTTTGTTGCCCCCTTTGTCCCGTCCCCACTAAAGAAGCTCGGCGAACACAACGAATTCCGCCCCCCAAAGTCTTGCTCGCCTTGCTTCCTTGTTGCTTGGCCTGCCTTGCCTTCTTGGGTCGCCCACACAAAGCGCCCAAGCGCCTGCTGCCCAACACAACCAACAACAACTTTGCAGTGTGCATGCGTGTGTAGGTGGTGGTTGTGAGCCTTGTGTGGGTAGAGGCCGCTTGCTTGCTTGCTTGTTGCTTTGTTGTGTATGTGTGTGTGTGAGGTTTGGTTTTCGCGTGCTCTCTTTCTTTGTGGGGTGTGCAGCGCCAGCTGGCCTCTAGGCCCATTCACTTGTCACTTCACACTTCGCAACACAGACGCATCTTTTGGTCGTCTGAGCTTCTCCAACCCTTTCATTGCCTTCACCACCTTCCTTCTCGGTTGCCCTCCAGAGCAACCTCTCGCTTCAGCAGCTCGCGCTCGAGTCGTTGTCGTGTCTTTCATCTTTTCATGCATGTCTTCATTTCTCCTTTCCAGTCACACAGCCATCATCAATCAGCACACCACCGCTACAACACCAACACCAACACCAACATTCCAGCAGCCTTCTGGCTCGCTCGCCAAGCGCATTCTTGCTCCAGCTCATCAAATACAGTCTTCAACTCGTCCGTCCCCCCCCCCCCCCCACAACACAACGAGCAAGCCAGGTAGGTTGGTGAGCGTGCCCGCCTCCCCACTTCCAGCCGCCTTGCCTTCGCCAGCGCCTTCGAGCTTGCCTACACAGACTACCTACGACACATCAAGGAACGGTGTTCAGGCGTACACATCATCACAACAACACCAATAGCACATCTCATCCAAAGACACCCCCAAGCACCACAACATGCTCTAACGGAAGGAAGTGCGCTGCGTGATCAACACAATACAACATCCAACAGCACAGCAGAATCACCAATCGACGTACCAGCCTGTACCGACGGCGACGGCAACCCAAGCAGGACAACAACGCCTATTGAAGTGTTGACTGCCCCCACCCAAGCAGACTGCGAAGGTACTGACTTTGCCAAAGGAAAAGGGATGTGATGTGACTATGTGACGAGTCGCATCAACACACCACGACATTCGTGTGCTTCCTTCCTTCCTTCCTTCCTATCAGTATCTTCCCGACATATACAACTCGTTAACTTCGCCCCCTTGCTTGCCCTCTTTGTAATGTGGATTCTTGGCACCTAGTAGCACCTCTGCACTTGAATCATATGATGTGGCATGATGACTTTGTTGGCAGGTCTTCTCTCTGCTTTCTGTCAGTTTCGAAACTCACGCCCTTTCCCTCAAGGCCTCTGACGTCAGAGCCCATATCCGCTCTTGCGGCCATATTTCACGTTCTCGCTGCCTCATCTTCCCAATCTGCCCTTTGTCTGCCACACTTTCCCCCTGATGATGACATGACTGCCAGGCTGAAGTTGACGTAATCCTCGCAAGAACCTGCAAGCGGGCGCAAGCCAGTGCAAAAACCCAGCGAGCAAAAGGTGGCTGCCTCCTTGTGTGTGAATCACGTTACTGGGGCTCTCACCCCTCGCTCCCTCCTCGCACTTGTCAATCGAACACAATCGATGCAACGAGAAAGCAAAGCACACACAAAACACGGAGGCGGTCCTCAAACGAGGCTTGCTTGCTTTCTTCCTTTGCTTCCTCGCGTCCGTGCTCACCCACCCTTCCTTTTTTAAAACCCCCCGTTTGTGCCTCCTGCACCACTTCAAGGCAACAGTGTTGTGTGGGAAACACGCCCTGTTCCTTGTGCGCCTTCCCTTTCGCGTCGCTTGCAAGGTTCGTGCTTTGTCAGGCTGCCAGGTGCTTCCTCTGCAACATACATGATGTGCCAGTGTGCACTGCAACCTGCGGTCATCGTGGCGCACACTTGCTGTTCCCGTGTTTCCCGCCCACTCTTGAGTCCTCAGCGCCACCACAAGCAAATACGTGTTCACCACACAATCACTCACACTCTCACTCACTCGCACTCACAAACACAAACACACACACACACACAACACACTCACTTACTCACTCACTCGCACTCGCACTCACAAACACAAACACACACACACAACACACTCACTTACTCTCTCATTCACTTAATCATACACAACACACCCTCTCTCTTTATCTTGTGTCTCTGAACACACACGCGTACGCTCACATGTGCGCACACTTTCGCACAAACACTCCTTTGGCCATCACTGTATTACGTCATCTTCGTTTTGGTGCAACAACAGCCCTTCTTGCAGCCTCTAACACACGTGACTTCTTTGGCGTCTAGTCTCTTTATTGTGTGGCGTGCTTGCCCATCTCTGCGATTGAGTGGTCTCCCGAGGCCGCCAAGCTACGCACCTCTTCCTCCTAACAGCAGGTTTGTTCCGCCGTTCCACCTGTTCCCTCTCTTGCCCTCCTCTAGTGGTCGTGGCACGAGCAGCGTTTTCCTAGTTTTTGTACCCACGCCTGCAGCCGCATTTCTGTGCACCATGCTGTCGTTCACTGACGTCCAGCTTTTTGACTGTTCACACTGATCATGTGATGTGAGCACACCAAGACAAGCGCGCAGTGTCGTGCTTCCCTTTGTTCTCTCATTTCCTCAGTGCTGTGGTAGCCTCGGCTCCTCTCCGTCGTATGCTAATTTACCATCACAACCATCACCCACTACACACTGTGCACGCATGCGCACTGGTGCTGACTTCAATAGACACCAGCCCTTTCAGGCTTTCACTCCCTTTCCCCCTGCCCATCAGGTACTTGTGTGTCTGTTTGTGTGACAGTGAGTGTGCCTGTGCGTGTTTGTGAGTGTGCCTTTGTCTTTGTCTGTTTGTGAGTGTGCCTGTGTCTTTGTCTGTTTGTTTGTTTGTTTGTTTGTTTGTGTGTGTGTGTGTGTGTTTGTGAGTTAGCCTGTGCCTGTGTCTGTTTGTTTGTGTGTGTGTGTGTGTGTGTGTGTGTGTGTGTGTGTGTGTGTGTGTGTGTGTTCATCTGTCTCTCCCTATGTGTCTCTGCCTGTGTCTCTGTCTGTGGGTCCGTGTGCGTATGCATAGCACATGTTCGTGCGAGTGTGTATGCTTGTGCATGTGTCGCTACGTCTGTGTTCAAGCCGCAGTTATGTGTTTCTTTTTGCCTCTTCCCAGTGGCTCAGGTCTGTGTCCGTGCACGTGTCCGTGCGCACATTGTCGTGATTACCAGCTCTGTGCGTACCCGGCCTTCGTTAGCATTTTTTCTTCGCCCAAGGTCCTCACTGTCTCACACCGCGTCTCTTACACACTCCACCCCTACATTGGCAGACGTTGTTGAGCCGCATCACCAGCACTGCGGCAGACCCAGCTTTGCGTCGCAAGGCATGCATGCTGCTCTGGGACAATCGCATGTACGTATGACTTGTCACGCTTTCTACAACAACCAACACCACTAGCCATGACCCGACAGCCCAGGGCGAACCACCCCGCTGTTGGTGACAACAACGATGTTCCCAACGGCGGAAGCAATCTCAACAGCAACAACGACAACAGCACAGGCGGCAGCAACAGCAACAGTAAGGCCACTGGCAAGGACGAGCCCGCGGCACCCGCTGCAGACGTGGATACACGGCCTGGTGCCACAGAAGCAGAACACGCAGGCTCCCCACACGAAAGCGTGGACATCCACGGCACTGCACAAACTGCACAGGCAACACGCGCCTCAACCACAAACAGCAGCAGCAGGCATAACGACGCGGTTCCTGAGCACTCGCGTGTCGACAAACAGACCACCCGCGTTGCGGTGTCACATTCCCGCCATCGCGAAGACGACAACGACAGTGATGATGACGATGATGACGACAGTGATGGTGGTGATGATGATGATGATGATGATGATGATGATGATGATGATGATGATGATGATGATGATGATGATGATGATGATGATGACGCTGGTGATGATGACAATAATGCCGATACAGATGCAGCAACTTCACACATTTCCACGACAACCGACAGTAGCAGCACCACCGATAGCAGCAGCAGTAGCGATGGTAACAGCCGCGGTGCGGACGATGATAAAGTGTCGGCGTCACGAGCACGTGTAAGCCCCAGCGAAAACGCAGCAACACCCTCAGCGGCAGCACAGCAGGTGCAAGCGGCCGTGCGCTCTTCTCCTGATGCTGATGACAGCAATGGCGATGACGATGACGACAACAACGCCAATGACGACGGTGCTGATAGCCACAGTGAGCGTTCCCACAATGAGAACACTGGTGCTCCCGGAACGGCGGCTCCCAGCGGGCGACAAAGACATCACGTTGGACAACCCATCGCTGGCTCGACCCTGCCACTCACACACCCAACCCTCAAACAGCAGCAGCAGCAGCCTGCCGCGATGGCACGTGCGCCTGTTGGTGCTGGCATGTGCATGGCTGCGCCGGGCCTTTCCCCGTGCGCTGCTCCTCGTGGTGGCGGCAGCGGTAGTGGTGATGGTGATTGTCTGGCTGTGGCCCCGCCGTCCACCATGGCTGCTCCTGCAGATGCGGCGGCAACAGCGAGACTCTGGCGCGAACAGGCCACACTGCTTCCCCAGGTATGTTGTGTGTGTGTGTGTGTGTGTGTGTGTGTGTGCGTGTGCGTGTGTGTGTGTGTGTGTGTGTGTGTGTGTGTGTGTGTGTGTGTGTGTGTGTGTGTGTGTGTGTGTGTGCTCTGTGTGTGTGTGTGTGTGTTCTGGGTGTGTGCTCTGTGTGTGTGTGTGCACGTGTGTGTGTGTGTTCTGGGTGTGTGCTCTGTGTGTGTGTGTGTTCTGAGTGTGTATTGGGTGTGTGTTCTGGGTGTGTGTTGTACACTTTATGCTTGCTCCCGTCCCTTGGCCGCGTGTGCACTCCACATGTCACATAATGTCTGGTTTCTGCTCCGCCCCACATTTGCAGGATGTGTTTGATCGCGACATTGGTGTGGTGATTGGAAAGGAGTACATCATCCGCGGAAAGGTGTGGGTTTGTGTGTGTGCGTGTGTGTGTGGTTGATTTCAACTTTCGGCTGCTCTTGTTCTTGCTTGTATTCTTGTTTCTGATTGACTCTTACTCCTGCCTATTGGGGTGTTATTCGTTGCTCACATTGATTATCTTGCTGCGAAACACGACACACACACACGCACGCACACACACACACGCGCACGCACACCCACGCACACACACACGCTTCAATTGCACAGCGCATCTTCCAGTGCCTCGACTGTTCAGATGCCTACCCATCTTTCAGCAAGGTCAGCGCGCACATCCATGTGTGTGTGAATGTGAATGCGTGAGTGTGGATGTGGATGTGGTGTCATCGTCTGCCTTACACACACCACACACACCATTTGCCTTGCGCACCGGCCGTCTTTCTTTCATTTCCATAAGACAACCTACACTGAATCGCACTACTAAGGAACTCACTCACCCACCAACCTGCAGTTGCAACGCCATTCACGTCGACACACGGGCTACCAACCTTTCAAGTGCCTCATCTGCTTCACCATGTAAGTACAAGCGAGGTGCTTGCCCTCAACATTTCGGTTCTTCACCGCATCCATGGGTGTGGTCGTTTTGCACTGTGTTGTGCATGTGCTAAAACATGGCGTCCAAGGCATGGTGCTTTGTTGCGTTCTTGTTGTTCTTGTTGCCGTGCGGTGTTCGGGACTTGTGTTTGTGTAAACTGTTGCGGCTTGCTTGCTCTTGTGGTGCTTCTGGCTGCAGCTGGCTGTTGCACAACACCAATTCGCAAGAGCGCGTGTTTTCGCGCCCGCTCGTGGGCTCGTGCACACGTGCAGCGCAGTTCATGTGTTAGTTCAGGTGTTTGTTCATGTGTGTGTGTGTGTTTTTGGATGGATGTTTTCCGCGATTAAGTGGGATGGCATTCATTCGCGTGGCACGCACGCCGTGGGTTCGTTCCCACATGCTTCTCGCTTGTGGCTGTTCACTTTTTGCATGCATGGGCGCAGGAAGTGGCCCAGTGGCGATTTTCATTTTTGTGTGTGTGTGTGTGTGTGCTTTTTGCTTCGCCGCTTTTTTTCCTTCTCAAAGTTTCCCGCCACAACAGCGCGAGTTGTTTTTATTTTTTTTTTGAGGTTTTTGCCACTCGACTGAATTCAGTCGTCATCATTGCGCAACTTTATGTTAAGTTGGATGTTTTTTGTCCCGGTTTGTCGTGTGCAATCAAAAACCTTTGCTCGTTGCGTTTTGGCTTCTTTTTTTTTTCAATCCCGAATCCGTTGGGATTGATTCTTCTGTTTTTCTTTTGAACGCGCCGAGGCACGTGTTCGCCAGTGGCGTTGTGGTTGGCGCGAAATTGCGACCACAACACCACATCATCTTGTCGTGGGTTGCGTGTGCCGCTCACCGCACAACGCTCAATGCTCACCACCACCACTCTCGCACACACTCACACACACACACACTCACACACACTCACACTTCACAACACTCACACACACTCACACACACTCACACACACTCACACACAACAACAATGCTCACACGCAACAACGATGCTCACACGCCCTTCTCTTCCCCCCCCCAACTCAATCACGCACAAGGTTCACGCAAAAGGCGAGCTTGAAGCAGCATCTGCGACGCCACGAGCCGTCGGACCTGCTGGACTTCTTCCACGTGCCAACACCAGCGCGCCCGAGCCACGTGCAGGTGGTGGTCGAGGCCCTGATCCGCGACCTGGTGCACATTGCGCACGTGGAGCCCATCCCCGCCAACATCCCCGCCCTGCAGCGCTACGTCGCCCGTACGTGGGCCACGCAACAGAAGCACCTGCAGACGGACGCATCAGGGTTGCCAAACATGGACACGCCGCTCTCGCTCCTGCCCCAGCAGCAGCAATCGTCATCACCAGCCACGGAGCACACGGCAACATCACCACCACTGCAAAGCAGGCCGCGAAGAAAGGCTGGGGGAAAGAGGGCGGCAAGGACAAAGCCGGCAACGCGGGCATCGAGTGGCAGCAGTGGCAACAACGCCAACACGCTTGCCGCATCTTCACGCCAACACAGCGCTACCCTAGCCACCAGGACCGCTGCAACTGCTTCTCCCTCTCCCCAGCAGCCAACAGACACGACGCAGACGCCTGCTGTTGCAAATGACACCTTACCAATGCAACAAAAGCAACAACCACAACAGCAGCAACAACAACCACAAGTGCACAGTGTCATGAATCCCTCGCCCTCGCTCCTCAGCAATCCTGCACAACCCATTTCGGAACCCAGCCTGCAAGCACCGAGTGCTGCGGGTGCGCTTGCGCCTCTTCTTCAACATCATCAACAGATGCAGCTGCTTCAGCAGCAATTGCTGCAGCATCACCAGTTGCAGCGCGGCCAACCACAGGCGATGCAAGGCATGCCATATGGGTTGCTCAGTGCCATTCGTTCCGGCATGGCGCCCTTCCTTGCCAGCGCCACGCGCAACACTGCCAGTACAGCACAGACCAGCAGTCAGCATGGGCAACAACCTCAGTACCAGCAACAACAGCAGCACCAGCAACAGTGGCAACAGTTGCAACAAGCAGGCCGCCCTGCCATGCCCGCGACTGGCATGCTCCTCGGGATGAACGACAAGGCCACGCCTGCTTCCAGCCAGCACCAGCAACAACAGCAGCAAGGACAGGAAGAACAGCAAGACCACACGGCATTGGGTTCCGTTGGTCGGCCATCAGCCATGTTGGGACGGCGCAAGACACACCGCCACGGCCGCAGAGGCTCAAGCACCATCGAACGGACAGGAAGCGTTGCTGCAGCTGACCCAATCAAGAGTGAGGTCAGCAGCGATGAGGACAATGATGATGGTGATGGCAACGATGTAGACGCCGTGCAGGCAAGCAAGCGAGCCAAGGTAGCGGCTTCAAAGAGACCTGAGACCAGGCACAGCGGGGGCGTGTCAAACGGACCGACAACTTATCGTAAGGGTGTCGGAACAGCGGCTTTGCCTGCAGGCAAGCGCGCAGCGACAGCTCCAGTCGCAGCACCAACGGGAAGAGACGCTCTCATCAACAGCACAGGTGGAGCAGGGAACGACAATGGCGACGATGTGGAGGACGACCGTGATGGGCACAATGGTGGTGGCAATGATGATGATGGTGGTGGTAACGGTGATCACTCACCAGAACACCGTGCCACCAGCGATGCCAGCGATGCCAGCGATGCCAGTGACGTTGCGCAAGTGCTGTGGGACCTGAATCGTCGTCCCAGCAAGGGCGCCACAGACGCGGAAGCAGCAGCAGCAGCAACGTCAGCAAGCACTGCAGCACCCTCAGCCACTGTACCTCGTGCGATTGCCTCTTCAACGCCAGTCACAGAGGCAAGCGTGTTGTCACCAGGAGGGGCAGCGGGCGTGAGAGAAGAAGGGGAAGATTCGCCAGGCTCCCACGCCACCGCTTCGCAGCACAAGCACAGGAAGAAACGGCACAAGACGAAACACAGGAAGGAGAGGAAAGAGAGGAGAAAGGAGAGGGAGATGCGGAAAAGCAGGCCCAAGGGCACGTCAAGGAGCAGGAAGGCGTCCTTTGGCCATGTGTGGGCAGCAACTAGCATGGGCGAAGAAGTGCAGCCAGTGGTGCCCCGGCGCGGTGCTGCAGCCACCACACCAACAGCGACAATACCAGCACCAGCGCCAGTAGTGACAGCAAGCACGGTGTCGTCCACATCTGTGTCCACCTCCCAGAATGCCATGCTGTCCTCCATGCTCGCAACCCAACAGCAGCAACAGCAACAGCAACAGCTTGCGCTCCAACGTCGGCGTGCACTGGTGGCCAAACAGCAACTGCTGCAGCTGCAGTCACAGCAGCGCCGCCGTGGCCGTGGCCGTGTTGATCGCAGCGAGCCCACATCCTCACTCTCCTCCCCATCCCATGCCACCACAGCCGCTGTCAGCAACCCCACAGAACCCACGACGACGGTAGCCACCCCAGCGCAACAAGTGCAACAAGTACAGCCGGTACAACCAGTGCAGCCAGCGGTGGCAGGGGCCGACCTTGGTACGGCGCACGAGGGTGCTGGGAGTGCGCCCTACCCGGCACAGCTGGCAGCACTCTATGCCGGATACCAACAGCAACTTGCGCACCAAGTACAGCAGCAGCAGCACCTTGGCTTGCATGGCGGCGTGACGGCAGCGCCCATGTGTGCCCAGGGCTACCCAGCATCCATGATGCACGGGGGTGGTGCCTTCATGCAACAACAGCCATCTCAGATGCAAGCACAGCAACTGCAACAACTGCAACTCCTTGCGCAACAGCATCAACAACAACAACAACAACAACAACAACAACAACAACAACAACAACAACAACAACAACAACAACAACAACAACTGCAGCATCAACCGTACCCTCAACTTCCATACATGGCGCAGGGGCAGGTGCCACCACATGTGCAGCAGCAGTTGCTTCACCTACAAATGCAACAGCAAATGCAGCCTCAGCAGCAGCAAATGCAACCACACGTGCCAGGCATGCTGCCTCAGGGCGCCTGGCCTCAATTCATGGGCAGCAACGTCGCCAGCAATGCCTTCCCCAACAACGGCGCGAGCAATGCCTTCCCCAACAACACATTTCCTCCCTGGCAATAGCAACCACGAGCGCACGCGTTTGGGGCGTGCTTGCCACAACAATTTATTTGACTTGAGGTGATGTACTTGATTGTACGGGAGGGCGTGGGCACCTTGGCCCATGTCGACAGTATTCCTTTTGTTGTTGTTTTCGTGTGCGCATGCTTGCAGGCACGCAGGTAGGCAGCTTGGTTTGCGTGCTTGTTGTTTCGTGTACTCGACTTCCGCACTACTGCCGCACCCCACACGCGCCACCATGTACCAGCACATTAGCTTCTCCACGTTGCCCCTCGTCATTATCGCTTCGTTTACAATCCCCACTGTTAGGGCTATTCGTTTGTACACCCACGCGTTATTGCGCATGCGCACTTGCGTTCATTCTTCTTCTGTTTTTGTTTGCTAGGCGCTGACCGCCCCTTGACTGCCCCCCCCCCAAATTGATCACTGCTTCTCCTCTAGTTCCCACAACTTTGGTGGCATACTCGTTGCTTGTCTGGGTTGCTGTTTTGTCCTCCTGCCACCTGTTTAACTTGCTTAGCGTCTCTCTTGACTTCATTAGCATGTGTGGATTTCGCCTTTGTTTCCTTCCCCCCCCCCCATTTCCGTCTCGGCGTTTGGACCATTCGTTCGGACCATTATTCCTCCCATGCCCCCCGCCTTTGCCTCTCTTCCACCATTCCCCCTGTTCTTGACGCCACTCATCTTGTGTTGGCGTTGTGTGATGATGATGATGATGATGGTGATGATGACATGGGTGACTCGTCGCACTTGCTGGCATACGCCATGCGCATCTGTGCCCTGTCTTGCTTCGGTCAAACATGTAGTCACTTCGTTCTTAGTATCATTTCCTTGCAACCAATGCGATGTCGTTCACGCCGTCTTATCGTTCATCCGCGTGCATCTGCGTATCGTTGTGTATGTAGTCGAGCACGTGACGTGTGAGCCTCTGTGTATGTGCACATGTATTCATGCTCTCCTTGTTGCCCACTGTTGTTGGGGCGTTGCTCATCGCTTCATCGCTTTGTCTCAGACTGCTTGTCCTGCCCCTTTTCTTTCTTGACACGCCTGTCGTCTCGTCGCTCGACAATAATGCATCATCTTGTCCTCAAGAACAGCAAGACAGCAGCAGTCGGGGGGTGATGTGTGGCCTTGGTTGTAGAAATGTGGTTGGCAGACTGGCGAATTATCCGCACTGATAACGGCAAGCGGCAGCGAGTGCAGCGAAGCGACAGTGAGACAGCAGCGTGAGCATTGGAAGCTCGAGAGAGAGAGAGAGAGCGAGATGGCGGATGACTTTGGCCATCATCCCCCTCAAGCAGGAGGGGCAGGCAAGAAGCACGCCGCTGCAATTGTGGAAGCCGCTGCCAAACTGACCCCTGTGCACGTGAGTTCCCGCGATGTGTGTGTGTGTGTGTGTGTGTGTGTGTGTGTGTGTGTGTGTGTGTGTGTGTGTGTGTCTGTCTGTCTGTCTGTCTGTCTGTCTGTCTGTGTGTGTATGTCTCTCTCTCTCTCTCACACACACACGCACACACACACACTCTCTCTCCCCTCCCTCTCTCTCTCTCCCCTCTCACTCCCCTCACTCACACACACACACACACACTCTCTCTCTCGGTCTGACCATGCCGGGATGTCGGCTCACCTGTCGTGTATGGACTACCGCAGATTGTGGCACTCTCCTTTGCTACTGTGGTCCTGGGTGCCATATCCAAGGATGATGATTCCCCAGAGTACCTTCGCTACCTCCTGCAGGATCTGCTTCACGCATTGGAGGTGCATAGCTTTGTGTTGTGTGTGTGTGTGTATGCTTGTGTGTGGTGATGATGATGATGATGATGATGATGGAGGAGGAAGAGCGAGTGCCTGCTGCTGTTGAGTGGCATACACTGCACGTGTGCATATACCTGGGCTGACGCGAGCGCGCTTGTGCAGATGCTACGTAAAAGGCCCACAGCGGATGCTGCCCGCTTCTTCAAGACGTTCCTCCGAGATGGCGACGCGGCATCACACGACCTGGCCCGCGCCATGCTCGAAGAGTGCGTGTGTGAGTGAGTGAGTGCGAGTATGCGTGGCCATGTGTTCGTACACGTGCTTGGCTCAACAATGTGTGTGCGTGCGTGTCTGTCTGTCTGGCGGTCTGCGCGTGCTTGTTTGCCTGAGATTGCACTGTTGCAGCTGCCCCTTGGCTGCTTGCTTTCGCCGTGACCATCGCCGTCGGGTGCTGCGACAATTCCCACTCACCTGCCAATACCACCCACACCTGCACGACGACCCACGCCCCATCCAAAACAGCCTGAGCCAGCTTGACAGCGTGTACAGCGTGGAGGCGTTTATCGCTGACAAGGTGTGCTTCTTGCAGGAAGAGAGCCACAACTTCCGCGTGCACGAGTGCAGCGAGCTGGGCGTGTTCCTCCACAACATCAACGTGTCGAGTCGGCAGTGCGGCTTTGTTGCCATGCTTGCCCTTGAGGAAGGCGCCAAGACCATGATTGCCGCGCTGCGTGAGTATCTTGAACACGACGTGGCACATGCCGTATTCGCCCTCAAGCGCGCACGTTCGCGGCAGCAGGCCGTTTTCCAACGCGTCCTTGCAGACCAATTTGTCGAGGTGCGCTTTGGTGTTGTGCGTGTGTGTGAGTACGCTGGGGGGGGTGTGCATGTGTGCGTGTCAGTATCTGTGTGTCTGTGTGTCTGTGTCTGTGTGTGTGTGTGTGTCTGCGTCTGTACATATGTGTGTCTGCGTCTGTACATGTGTCCGTATGTCCCTGTCTTGTTTGTTTGCCTGGCGATGCCTACATGTGCCTTCCCCGCCTTTATGTCCAACCCACCACCGCCACGTGTCGACAGCTGCTTGAACTTGAGAGCGACCGCACCCCGCTCTCTCCACCGGGAGCCCGACACCACATGAAGAGGTTTCTGTGCTTGTGTGGGTGTGGGTGTGTGGGTGTGGGTGGGTGTGCGTGTGCGTGTGCGTGTGCGTGCGTGCGTGGGTGTGGGTGGGCGTGGGTGTGGGTGTGGGTGTGGGTGGGTGTCCTTCTCCGCTTCTGCCTGTCCATGTTTCTGTCTCCATGGCCACTTGGTGCAGCAGACGCATTTCATTCTCAACGTCCCCATCACCTCACCGCCCACGATGATGACGACGATGATGTTGATGACAGGTTCATCAGCGCAACGCGTCGCGGTGATATTCTGGCGGCACAGGAGCAGCTCTTGCTTCACTACGAAGTGCGCACACATATGCACACGCATTCACTCACCCATGTGGTCCCCTTGTGTGTGTGTGTGTGCGTGTGCGTGTGCGTGCGTGTGTGTGTGTGTGTGCGTGTGCATGTGTGTGTCTATTGTTTTGATGTGTACATGTGTTTTTTCGTGTTCATGCTGCAGCTGCAATCATCCCTAGTGCCTCCCGTGTTCTCATCGCCCTCGTCACCATCTCTTCGCCTGCAGGTCGAGCGAAACCGGGACTGGATCATCACCCAAACCGTACGCTCGCATGCTCATTATGTGTGTGCGTATGTGTCTGTGTGTGTATGCGTATGTGCGTGTGTGTGTGTGTGGATTGGCTATAGCTAGTCTGCGTTTGCTGCCATTGACTTGCCGTATTGCACCCTTACGCTCGGCTTTTGCTCATATGCGCTGCCGTGACACACCGCGCTCAACACACCAGACGCATTCCGAGTCGCAGCTTGCGCTTGCGTACCTGCACTACACCTTTGGGCATCATGCCCTCGCCGCCCAGGCCGTGCATGATGCAATCGGCACCGCCCTCGAGCTCGCACAGACGCCGCGGCTCCGACAGGCCCTGGTATGCGCACGGGGGAGAGTTTGGTGTGGGGAGGGTTGTGTGTGTGTGTGTGTGTGTGCGTGCGTGTGTGTGTGTCTGTCTGTCTGTCTGTGTGTCTGTGTGTGCGTGTGTGTGTGTGTGTGTGTGTGTGTGTGTGTGTGTGTGTGTGTGCATTGATCCATACGTGTTTGGATGTTCATTCTCTTCTGTACCTGTTCCTTTTTGCATCCCTCTCTCTTCTCCCCCTTGTTTTGCACCCGTATGCCCATGCCTGCCCTCACGCCCCGATTGCACCACCACCATCTTTCCTCTCGCACCATGCAACCCTGAACCCCCCCCCCTTCCCCTTTGTAAATGCGTCTTGGTTCAGGGATGGCTGGCAGAGATGGCGCCGACACCAAAGGCCGCCATGGCACTCAGCCGCGCAAACCTCCAACACACCCGGGACCAGCAGGTTGGTGGTGGTGGTGGTGGTGGTGGTGGTGTGTGTGTGTGTGTGTGTGTGTGTGTGTGTGTGTGTGTGTGTGTGTGTGTGGTGGTGTGTGTGTTGTGTGTTTGTGGGTGTGTGGTGTCATACTTCACTCATGTGTGTGCTTTTCCGATGTGCGTTTGCTTGTGGTTGCACGAATTGATTGCAGGCGCAAGAGAGTGATGACGGCGACGACAAAGCGGTGAGTGGTGAAATGGTGCTTGTCCCTTGAAGCACACATCACACCACACACACGCTCACACACGCTCACACACACGCTCACATACACTCACACGCACACACGCGCGCTCGCTCTGTTCTCATGTGCACGAACGCCGTTGTCACCACCACAATGCCCTTTGGCTTCCAGGCGATGAGTGCAGCTGCGTTTGGTGCGCATGTGCAGCTCGCCCTCTGCTCGTTCGCGGCTGGCGATGCAGCGGCGAGGTGAGGGTGAAGGAGATGACGACACACGCTTGTGGCTTTGCTGTTTACGATGCTAGTGGTGCTTTTTGGGGATTGTTTGCGAGGCACTGCTCGTTTGTAATTTCGGAGGTTTACTCTTGATGCAACAGCAATGGCACGCCCCTTCTTACTCGAGCCACTTGCACACACACACACACACACACACACACACACACCACGCATGCCCGGCAGCTATGCGCGTGAGGTGCAGGCAGCGATGGGGGTTGCGCTGGGCGAGGAGGCCTCATGGCACAGCTACACGTGCACCCTCCATCTCATGGGCGCATTTGCCGCTGCCGTCGGCGACACGTACGCTGCACACACACATACACATACACATACACATACACATACACATACACATACACATACACATACACATACACATACACGTGCGCGCGCACACATATACGCACACGTGCTCGAGCTGACGCGCCGACACGACGGGAGAGACATGAGAACATGCAGCGTGGCCTAATTTGAGAGAAGAACACGCAATATAACTCCCTTCTTCTAACAAGCACACACACGGCACAATACATGGCATTATGGCACACGGGGCAGCATTGCTGCGTGCCATCACCAGGCAGCTGTTGTGTTCTCTGCTGCGCCGCCGCCCGAACATGCGGATGCAGACGCGCTCGCGCAGGCGCAACTCATCCTCGTGCTCGCACGGAAACACGTACGACGCGCACTGCTTGCAACTTCGTGTGTTGTTTGTTGATTTGTGTGTGCCGGTGTGTCATTGTCTGGGAAGAAGTCTTTGCATCTCCCTTGCCACTGCTTGGATCGCTTCTCTTCCATCATCATCATCAATCATCACCATTGCCACCAGGGCCGGTATGCATTTGCTGCGTCGCAATTAGCCAAGTTGGCAGCGGAAATGCAGACAACGACAACGACCAAGTCACCAGCATCGCCCTCCTCCTCCTCTTCATCGTCTTCCTCTCCGTCATCGTCACCGCCGCCACCAACAGCTGATGATGGTGGTGATGATGGTGATGATGATGACGATGATGGTGGTGAGAACAATCCAAAGCCACAGCAGCAAGAGGGCCGACACCAGGCACAACAGCATGCATCGCGTGTGCGCCCAAGTGCGGATTCGCGTGCAGTCGGCAGCGATGGGGGCGTGGCGCGAGACCACGATCGCGTGCTGTTTTACCACCACCTTGCGCTGCATTGGAAACACGTGCCTGCAGGCAATTTTGAGGCCGCAAAGGCAGCTGAGGCTGGCATGTGCGTGTGCACGATGGACGCGTGTGACGATCTGGCGTGCACATTGCGAATTGCTGAGCGCGCGTTGGCGGAGGGGGAGATGGAGGCATGTTTGAAGCACTGTGCTGCCGCTCTCAGGCTCAACAGCAGCGATGCTTGCAGGCACGTGCAGACGCACAAGCTACAAGGGCCCATCGCTGAGGTAAGGAGGGAATGGCGCAAGTAGCAAGAAGCATTGTACTTGTTTGTTTGTATGTGTGCGTGTGTGTTTGACTGTGTGTGGGGGGGGGGGTTGGCTGTGTGGGTTTTGCTGCGTGCATAGCTTGACCTGTTGTGTTTCTCACCGTGGGACACCGCTGTGCATTTCTTCGGCGCAGATTGAAGCGTACACGCTGATGGGCAGATGTTATCTCAAGACCGGAAACACCGAACGTGCAATGGTTCGTTGGCGTGTGTGTCTGTGTGTCTGTGCCTGTGTCTCCCTGTCTATGTGCCAATGTCTGTCTATGTGTCTGTGTGCATACATGTGCATGAATGCTAGCCGCTTCCACTCAATCGTCATCACTTTGTCCCCCCCCCCGACCTCAAACCACTACCAACCTCCAACCACCACCATCAGGCTGTGCTGTCGCATGGGGCGGCGTTGGCAGTGTCGCGGCGTCTCATTGGACCGCTCGTCGCCCTGCAGACGGTGTTCATGCAGTGCCTGGTGCGTACCATCGTTGTGTTGGAGGTGTTAGTGCTGGTGTGAAGCGAAGGGAGACGTGTGCCATGATACACACACACACACACTCTCTCTCTCTCTCTCTGTCTCTCTCTCTGTCTCTCTCTCTCTCTCTGTCTCTCTCTCTCTCTCTGTCTCTCTCTCTCTGTCTCTCTCTCTCTCTCTCTCTCTCTCTCTCTCTCTCTCTCTCTCTCTCTCTCTCTCTCTCTCTCTCTCTCTCTCTCTCTCTCTCTCTCTCTCTCTCTCTCTCTCTCTCTCTCTCTCTCTCTCTCTCTCTCTCTCTCTCTCTCTCTCTCTCTCTCTCTCTCACTCACACACACACACACACACACACACACACTCTCTCTCTCTCTCTCTCTCTCTCTCTCTCTCTCTCTCTCTCTCTCTTTCTCTCTACTCGTGATCGCAGGTGCAAGCGAAGCGGTGGTCGCTGTTTGCTGAGATGGAGAAGAACATAAACATCAACGCGTGCATGTGTGCATCATTTGAAACGCGGGCAGAGCTGCTGCTGGTGCGCGGCTTTTATCATCTCGCCATACACAACGGTATCGCGTGTGTGTGTGTGTGTGTGTGTGTGTGTGTGTGTGTGTGTGTGTGTGTGTGTGTGTGTGTGTGTGTGTGTGGCTTCGTGGAAGTAGTCGTTGTGCTCGATTTGACAATGACCCCGCATACCTTCTTCCACTCACTTCAACACACGCGCGCGCGCGCAGATGCAACGACTGCAAGTGGATTGCTGAAGAAATCGTATGCCATGTACATGAGGATTGGACACACGCGCAACCAACGCCGATGCTTACACCTCCTGGTGTGTGTGTGTGTGTGTGTGTGTGTGTGTGTGTGTGTGTGTGTGTGTGTGTGTGTGTGTGTGTGCAGCTGTTCATCTGGTTCTCCAGCCCCCTGCCCGTCTGCTGTCCACATTCTCCTTTCATCTCATATTTTTTCTCACCACACTCCGATGTCGCTCTTATTCTGCAGTCGCTGTGCGCACATGTGCGCGGAGACGCGAGCGAACGCGACGCCCTCGCACAACAGATGAACGCGCTCAAATAACGCACACACGCGTCTTTGCCTGTCTGTCTGTTTGTCTGTGTGTATTTCGAGTTTCGTGTGTCTCCCTGTGTTTCGTGTGTGTTTTGTGTGAACGAACAACTACCAGTTGGTCTTGCTTGCTTGCAAATATAAAGTAACGACCACGTTTGTTAAAACCACACGAAACAACAAAAACGCATTCTAACAAAAGTGGTGAACTGCGCATCTTCCCTGCTGCTGCTGCTGCTGCTGCTGCTGCTGCTGCTGCTGCTGCTGCCATGGTTGTAGCTGCTGGTGAATCGTCATGACGTCACGACTCCGATGACGTGTGCTCGTCCTCACCCACCATCGTCCTCTGCTGCTGTCGTCGTTGTCGCCGGGCGTGTGTGTCCCCACGCGTTACAACCGCATCCAGCAGGCGAGCTGCGTCTGAATCAGCACTCCCACGTGTCTTCCCCTCACCACCATCATCGTCATCAGCAGCATCATCACGATCATCATCATCACGATCATAATCACCAGCACTCGACCCGTTCACATCACCCACGCCGCCGTCATCATCATCGTCATCATCAGAGGAGGACGGGTCAAGGATGGCGACATACCGCTTGGACGTTCGCAAGCTCTCACTCGAAAACGAGGCCTCGCCTCTCACGCGTCCACCAATGCCACCACCACCACCACCACCACCACCACCACGCCTGAGCGCAACACTGTGGCCATTCGTACCACCACCACCACCACCATCGCCATTGCCAACACCATCACCAGCATTGCTTGTCTTGGTGTTGGTATGTGTGCGGCCCGGTCGTGGTCGTGGTCGTGGTACGGGCGGTCGCGCTGGCGGTCGCGCTTTCGCTGCAGTCGACGAATGTGAACACCCATCGCGAAGATCATCACTTTCAATCCTGTTCCCGTCGTCCCCTTCGTCATCATCAGCAGCATCTTCCTCTTCTTCTTTTTCTTCAGGCGGGCGCGCTGTTGTAGTCACGCCACCAACATCGTCACTTCCGCCGTCATCGCCACCACCACCGCCGTGTTTCCTCTCACCATAATACAGCACAGAAGAAGCACTTGAGCCGGTCGTAGTGGCAGTCGCATCCTGCATTCTGCTCACAGATGGGCGTGGCGGCGGTATTGGGGGCGTTCCCTCTGTTGCCGAGTCAAATGCGTTTTGCCGCCGGCGCCTGGCGTTTGATTCCGTCAGTTCCACGTAGGACCGTGGCACCCACCCTGCCGTTCTTGATGTTGTTGCTGCTGTCATTGCTGCCGCTGTTGTTGTCATGGTAGTGGTGGCTGATGCTGCTGCTGTTTCCGCATCAAACGACGAATCACTTGCAATGGACCAGGCGCCACTCGTCACGTTGTTCGCAAGTGCGTAGTCGCCGCTCACAACAGGCGGGCGCGTTCCCTGCGTGCTGCTGTGCTGGGTTGTTGTGCCGCTGCCTGGGGTTACAATGGTGCCAACACCTGTCACCAGCGTTGGGCGAGGTGGCGGGGGTCGTGATGGCTGCAAATACACGCGCTCCTGTGCGACGGCGTTGTCGTACATGTGCGTGGTGGTGTGGTGTTGGTCACTGGCGCCATGCACGTGCGCATGCGACGCGTGTGCATGGCCCTGTCGCCGTGCTGATGCCCTCGCTGCCGCCGCTGCTGCCGCTGTTGTTGTTGTTGTTGTCGTTGGTGCGACCGTGTTTGCCCGCAGGTGATGCACGCCACGTGATGTGCTGGACGATGAAACGCCACTGCCACTTGTCGTTGTTGTTGACGCACCTGCACCCGTTGTTGTTGTTGTTGTTGTTGCTGTTGTCGTCGTGGCGTGAAAGGTCTTGGTGCGGGCGTGTGGCGGTTCCAAAGACGGAGACGATGAAAAGGACGGAGAGGCGTGGGCCGCCCTGTGTGAATGCGTGTGTGTATGTATGTGTGTCAACGTGTGTGTGTGTGTGTGTGTGTGTGTGTGTGTGTGTGTGTGTGTCAACGTGTGTGTGTGTGTGTGTGTGCAAGTGCTCATCATCATCACCCGCCATCATCACCCGCCATCATCACCCGCCATCATCACCCGCCATCATCATCATCATCATCATCATCACCTCCTGAGTGACGAGCTGCCGTGCAGTGGCGCCCCCGGCTCGGAAACGCCATCGAGATGCGGGCGAACCAGACACAACCCTGTCATCATGATGTTGTGACAACAGGATCAGTGTGCACATATGTGTTCATGTGCATGTGTGCATGTGTGTGCGCAAGAGTGTGTATGTCTGTGCATGTGTGTGTTCACCTTCCGGGACGAGTTCGCCGTCGCTGCGAACGACATCCAGCGAGGACGACGGCGCACTGCCCATGACACAACCACATGATGTGTGTGTGTGTGTGTGTGTGTGTGTGTGTGTGTGTGTGTGTGTGTGTGTGCGAGTGCGCATGAGATCATAGCAGAAGTTTGTCGCCTCGTTCACATGCATGCAGACGCACAAATGCACGCTCTTACAACCAGCACACACACAACACCACAAACGAGTACACACACACACGACACCATCACCACCACCCATGCCAGTGTGCTGTGAGCGTACCAGGACGCCGGGCGGACGGGAAGCGGGTGGGAGCGATTTCGCGATGACGACGACGACGGACGGATGAACGTCAGCAGCGGTGATTGGCGGCGCAGCGTGGACAGTGATGTTGTTGATGATGATGATGATGATGATGTGGATGACAGTGTTGTTGATGTTGTTGCTGTAGTTGAGGAGGAAGAGGTGGTGGTGGGCGTTTGTGTCTGGGACTCTGGCTGTGCCGCAGGTGTCGTGGAGTGCTTGCTATCACCTGCAGATGTGTGTGTGTGTGTGTGTGCGGCAGAAGAGAACAGAAGGGGTACAGTGCAGCACATGACTAGACACATGACATGTCCACGACGATACACACACACGTACACGCACACACACACACCATACCACACCGTCACCTGTGTGTTCGGGCGTCTCTTCTTCGTGGAGAAAGAGCGATTCAAGATGGACTTTGCGCACCGCTTGACACGCAATCAGATCACTGCAGTGACACACACAAAAAAAAAGGAAAAAAGAGAAGTGGTGGTGGCAGTCGTCGTGAACACGATGATGCGCGTATGAAGGTGGAGATGCAGACAACGGCACAGATGAACAAGCACGCCAAATCACATGACCGAACGACAACACTTCGCGACACGACCCTACAGAACACAACAGGACACAACAGGACACATGACACCACGGAGCACGGGGCACCTTCGCGTGGGCCCCTGGTCGTATGAGTGGGCGGCAGTGAGGTGCGGTGGTGTGTCGGGGATGAGACGGGAGAGGTGCAGTTGCGACTCCGCAATGACAAGCGCGGCGTGGTGGTACTCGATCGACGCCTGCGCCTCTCCTTCAAGCACCTGACGCACACGCGCATTCTTCGACATCTGTGCGAAATTGTGTGTGTGTGTGTGTGCGTGTGTGTGCGTGTGTGTGTGTGAGTGTGAGAGTGAGAGAGAGTGTGTGTGTGTGTGTGTGTGTATGTGTGTGAGTATGAAGGATGGTGAGGGTTTACAGAGGAAAAGGACGGACGAATGAATGCCCGAAGAGAAGAAGAGTGTGTGTGTGTGGGGAGGGGGGGTGGGTGGGTTTGTTGACTCATGGATGCGTGAAGGAATGGTGTCACACTACCTCGGTTGATTTGTACTGGTGCGCATACACGCGTTCTGCTTGCGTCACCTCGCCTACAATGACACGAGTGTGTGTGAGGGAGAGAGTTATGTGTGTGTGTGTGTGTGTGTGTGATTGGTGGACAAGAAGCGGGACTATGGGGACTGATGGAGAAGAAATTGAAAGCACTACATGCGCAGTTAATGCTGCGTGTATCACGGTGTTATGTGCATCTGATTGCACCTTTGAGTTCCTTCAGCTGGGTCGCGAGCTGTTCCTCTTTGGCATCGTCGCCCCGAGCGCGCGCAGCTGTCAACACAAGGGGGGATGGAGGTGGTGATGATGGAAGGTGGGAGAAAGGGGATATGAATGATCCGGCCAAACGCACACATCACACGCACACACATACACACACACACATTCACGCACACACACATTCACGCACACACACACACTCACGCACACACAAACACACACATCCACACAGGTGTGTCCACACCTAGCCGCTGCTTGTCGACCCTGGCTGCCTTGGCTTTGAGATCGTGCACGTGTCTCTCGGCCTGATGCATGATGAAGCCAGAACAACGGTGATTGTAGTGCGCATGTGAGCATGCCTTTGTGTGTGCAACCGTGCGCGTGTGTAACTGTGTGTGTGTCTCTGTCTGTGACGTGCTTGTGTGTGTGTGTGTGTGTGTGTGTGTGTGTGTGTGTGTGTGTGTGTGTGTGTGTGTGTGTGTGTGTGTGTGTGTGTGTGTGTGTGTGTGTGTGTGTGTATCAGAGTGGAAGAGCTGCGTGGTTAGAACAGCTGCGTGGTGTTCGTACAGGCATACATGTATGGTTTCTTCAACTGATCTCTCCTCGCCTCCACCCGCCCCCGCCCCTTGACCTCGAACATAGCGCACCGAAGATGTCG